TTCGTAGGCCAGAAAAGATTAGAATGAAATATTCAAAGCGATAAAAGCTAGGACCTACAACCAAAATTATTCTACCAGGCAAAGCTATCATTCAGAATAGAAAAACAGGTAAAGAGTTTCCCAGAGAAGAAAAAACTAACAGAGTTCATTACACTAACACTGTATTACAAGAAATATCAAAGGTCTTCTTTAAGAAGAAGAAAAAAAAGATTAAATATATGAATAATACAATGGTGTTACATATCTCTTATCCATATGTTCACTTTAGCATTCTTTACAATTGAAAGCAATCTAAGTATCCATCAGTAGATGAAAGGATTAAGAAGTGGTACATGTATACAGTGGAATATAACTCAGCCATAAAAAAAGAATGGTATCTTGCCATCTGCAACACCACGGATGGACCTAGAGGGTATTATTCTGAGAGAAATAAATCAGACAGAAAAAGACAAGTGCCATATGATTTCACTTAAATGTGGAATCTAAAAAAGCAAGGTATTTGAACAAAAAAACAGATACAGAGAACATTTTAATGGTTGCCTGATGGAAGGGTAGTTGGAGGAATGGGTGAAAAAGGTGAAGGGACCAAGATGTACAAATCAGTAATTAAAAAGTAGTCGTGGAATGGAAAGTACAGTGTTGGGAACAGGACCCATGAAACTGTAATAACTTTTATTGTGTCAGATGGGTACTATATTTGCCAGGATGATCACTCCATAAGTTATATAAATGCCTAATCACTGGGTTGTACACCTGAAACTAATATGATATTGTACATCAACTGTAAACTTAAATTTAAAAATTTATTAAAAAGAAAAACACAGAAAAATATTACCTCCATGCACTTTTATGAAAAGATCAATTCAAAGGCAGGCAGCACCTGAAGCTGTAACTGATTGTAGAGAAAAGGAAGCAAGCGACTCCCTCTCAGAATGCTGAATGACCTTGATTGGCACGCTAACTGCAGTGGAGCTTTTGAACAGATGAATGGAAATTACCACATTTCTCCCAGATTAGACATAACCAGAATCCTTTCTTAGAGTCATCAGTAAGGAATTTGGGTAATAAATGAACCTGTGGTGTCTGGGCGCTCTGCCAATGGCACGAACAAACAAGGACAAGGATCTAGGCACAGACAGGGACAAAGATACAGGAAGATACTTTGTGCCTGAATTTATTTCTCTCTCTGGCTCTCTCTCTTTTTAAAATCTTTATCTCCTAGCTCTCGTTATCTATTTATAGAAAAGAAAATGATTCCTTAAATCTGAATGCATGAGAGGAACACGTATGAATGCATGGCTTAAGCAGAGAGTTATGTAAATGCCTATAGAATAATAAAATCAGATGTCCAAAGTAAACAACTTCCATTACCACTAACCCATGGCAAGATTCCCTATTCTATTTTTAAGCACCTTCAAATCTATAACATTTTTCCTGATGTATAGAGGGCTTGCCTGAATAATGAAGGAGAAAAAAATTCCACTGTAATTTCCACAGAAAGATTTTATGGAGAATTTTACCTATCAAGGAATTTTCTCTCAACTTTCACTGAAAAAGCAAACCAAACTGTTCCTCAAACCTGCTGTAATTCCCTTCACAATTTCACAGTTCTCATTCTAACTTTACATGAAAAAGCTACTTTTTCTGGACACCAGAGAAAACCTGATGGGTTTCAAATGAAAGTACCAAGAGTATGAAAACTTGGGCAGATTTAGAAAGCATTCAAAGGTTTAATTAGAGCAGTGACTGTTCAATCTTTGCATATCTCCTTGTTGCCCCTGGACTGTCTCAATTCACTTAGTTGTGTCAGCTTTTCTTTTTTATTTCCACTCAAATGTCTAGTGTTCTTTATGTTTCTGTGGTAGATTAAATCTATGAATGGAGATAAGTATTTTTATTTATCTATACTTGGTATGTGTTGTGCTTCTTTTTAAAGACTTTATTCATTTATTTTTAGAGATGGGGGAAGGGAAGGAGATAGAGCAGGAGAGAAACATCGATGCATGAGAGAGCAAGAGAAAGATCAATTGGTTGCTTCTCTTTTGCTCCCCAACGTGGATGGCTCACCATGCAGGCATGCCCCCTGACCAGGAATTGAACAAGTGACCTTTGGCTTTGCAGGATGACACTCAACCAACAGAGCCATGCTGGTCCTGGCAGTGTACATGATGCTTTCTGTAGATTCATGTCTTTCATCAGTTCTGGAAAGTTCTCCAATATCATTTATTGGAATATTCCCTTTACTCCCTTTGTATCCATCCACCCTCTTCAGAAAGTGTGAGTGACTCACTCTGTCTAGCATGTCTTTTTGTTTGTTTTGTTTTAAATAAATTTACAATTTTTATTAAAGTGGATTTACTTGCCTTATTAAACTATAGTTTAGTGACTAATAAACAAAATTAAAAATGAGTAATCAGAAATTAAGTACCGTATTTTTCGGACTACATGACATACTTCCCCCTTCCCCAAATGTGGAAGGAATAATGGTTGTTAATACTGCTATTAAGTTCTGTTTATGTTATTTATGTTATTAAACATTTTACCACATTTTTTGCTCCAAATATTTTTTTCCTATTTTCCTCCTCTAAAACCTAGTTGCATCTTATGGTCCAAAAAACACGGTATGTGCTGACCATAGTAACCTCGTATGCTTCACCATTTCTTTATTTTTAAGTAAACTTTATTGATTTTTATTTATAAGCAATAAAATTCACGTATTTTTATGTGGAAATAAGTGAAATTTGACAAATGTATTCACCCGCATGTGACCACTGCCCGCTCTCAAGATGCAGAGTATCCGCCCAGAAAGTGTCCTTGAGCTCATTCGTAATCAGTCAACACCTCCCCCAACGCCCCCCCTCATCCTAGTCAACCAGCGGCCTCATTTCCATCAATATAGATTCTTTTTGTCTGTTCCAGAATTTCACCATGGAAACAATCGCATCATCTTCCCACTTTTCTGTCCCATTTCTCTCATTCAGAGCAATGTCTGGAGATTCATTCCTACTGTGCGTGAATCAGCATAGTCATTTGTCTCTTTTGATAGCTGAACAGTATTCCGCTGTATGAATACACCACAGCTTGTTTACCCATGTTCATTCCATACAGAGAAGTATTCGAATTGGTTTGTTATGAAATTGTATATATTCAATTTAAGACATGATATACCAAAAATTTGTGTATCTGACTAGGTTCTTTCACTCCATTCTCCAGTACATTCTTACTGCCAAGATCAACTTGCCGTTCACCATGACAACCTTCTGTTACACTGTTCAAAGTAACCCCTTTTACTTCCTAGTTTTACTTGGTGTGACACACTTTACACTTTGTGTTACGGTTCCTGCCTGATCACAGCTACTAGACTTTAAGCTGCTTGAGGTCAGGACTCAGAGAGATTTATCTTCACTTGTGCACACCATTTAACAAGTGACTGTCTTTATGGGACATGCTCAACAAATGCCTGCTGACAAGATTTAAAAAAAAACAATAAGACACATGAATTCCTCTGTTCAAAATTAGCTTCAGTAGAAAAAAATTGCTTCAGTGGCTCCCCATTTTATAGCTTGAAGCTCAAAATCTTCCCCAACTAGCTCTGACCTAGTTTTCTACACGCTTTCTCATGATTTCTCCTACATGATACCTCTTCTCTGGTTAACCTGGAATCTATTCCCTGGCTTCCATGCCTTTATCTATGATGTTTTTCCTGTCCAGTAGAAAAACACATACACATGCACACGCATACACACACACACCCCTCTTTATTCCCCCCTACCTCCTAAACAAGAGTTATAATCCCAAGGTTTCTATTTCCAGGGAAACCAACCTTCTTCCACCATCCACACACCCATCAGCAAGGTCCATACAAGTAAGCAGTTACAAATTATGCCCAGTAGGGGGAGGTGTACCCATAATCTCCCACTAGTCCAGTGCTTTTCCTGTCGCCCTAGAGATTTTAAAGAAACCACGTGTTTACGGAAACCTGTCACAGATTAAAGAAGTAAATAAGCAACAGTTCAACTATCTCCTTCCTCAAATCGCTCACAAGCTATGAGTCATCCCCGCTAATCAAAGCACAGTGCCTTGGGCCCTAACAACAAAAACAAAACCATTTGACCATTTTTAATCTTAACTATTTAAAACACACCCAGTTTCATTTTTCAAAGTTACATCTGAAAGACCTCACTCCGTAGGCATCCTCATTTTTTAAAAAGCAATAAAATGTATTCACCAGTTGAGTGTTGAATTTGGGTTGGTGAATCAGGAATCAGTAATGCAAAGTTGAATGAATGCCTTGCCTTTAATAAGCAGAGATTAGTTGAACTAAATTTTTTTCTAAAGTAAATGTGTTCTGCCCACTCCTTTCCAATCTCCACCTACTTCTTCCCTCCATTTAGATTTTTAAAATATGTTTTGTAACTACTTATCTCCCACCCAAAAGTTATTTTTTATGTACTTGATATAGTATACAAAAGGATTCAGCTTGATTCAAGTGTTAATTATTGATTCATCCTTACCACACACAAGAAGTGAACAGACATCATGAAATACACAAACCACATCACATCTCAGGAGCATAAGATAGTCCCGCCCATTCTCACAACGTGCAGGGCAGATGGATCTCACAGAGAATTCCTAAGGTTCAGCATCTCATAAGTTTATAAATTAATGAAGCTGGAAGAGATCATTGCATTTCATACAAGAGAAAAGTAAGATCCAGGGAGATCAAAATGACTTTTTCAAGGGATCACTGCCAGGTAGTGACAAAATAGTCTACAATCCAACACTTTGGACCTGTTCCCTGTACAATGCTCTCTGTCTACAGAAACCATTTATTGCTCTTCTTGCAGCATCAGCCAGAGATGGTATCTTAAAAGGACCTTCTTTGTGCCCACATCCTTAAAAGGTATACTAACAAGGCCCAGCAAACACCAGCGCAGTTTGAATAACACTTTTCTAATAAGCCAACTAAGCTTTTCAGCTTCTTAAGGCTGTTATCACACTAGTGCCTTTAAAAAAGTGCTTATAAGATTTTGTCCCTTTTTTGGTGTCCAGCAGGAGCCTAAAGCAATGTCTTTCTATGGTCCGTTGGTCATTTCAGAGCTTAGGAAATGTAACGGTCAACTCATTAGAAAGAAACATCTGGAAAAAAAAGAAAAAAATTTTCTCCTTTTTTATGGCTGAGTATGAGGCCAGGTGGGCACTGTAAATCGCAGAGAATACTTTGTAAAGTATATGATTGCCTAACTGCTGGGCTTACACTGGAAACTAATACGAAATAATACAGAATGTAAACTGCAATGGAAAAAATATTTTACAAAACAGAATCAAGAAAAACTGTTTTAAAAGTGCTTATAAGAAAGATCAGGGGGACTTCCGCCAAGATGGAGGCATAGGTGGATGTGCCGTGCCTTCTCATACAACCAAGATTAGAGAAAACTAAATATTAGCAACAGAAAACACAGCCAGAACATGGAAAATTGAACTTTTCGGAAGTCCGTTAACAACAAATTCTTCAGCCTGACCGGTAAGGGGCGAAACCAGCGGCTGGCGGAGCAGGGTTGCACAGGAGGACTCGGCCAGACACACTCAGGCCCGCGGAATCCAGGCGCAGGGTCAGACCTAGTGAGCGACCCAGCGAGCAACCAGGCGAGCGACCGAGGGGGAGACAGCCGGGCCCGGGGCTGCGTGTTGACTGAGGTCGCGCATTTGTGCGCGGGTGGACAGGCGAGAGAGTGGGCGGTTGGACCGGGCCGGTAAGTCCCCACGGTAAGCGGCAGTGGAGGGCGCCGCCATTTCCCTGCTCTGACCCCACCTCCACATACAGCATCATAACCCAGCGACTCTGAGTGGCCCGGCCCAGGTGAACCGCCTAAGGCACTGCTCCTCCGCACCCAGCTGTGAGAAGTGGCAGAGGGGGTCGCCATTTCCCCGCTCTGGCCACGCCCCCACATACAGCGTCACAACCCAGTGACCTGGGAATCCAAGGCGCCGCTTCTCACATTTAAAGGGCCCGAACAGACCAAGAATGGCGCAGGAGGATCTCAGAGCCCCAGAGCCAATAAATCTAAGCGATGAAGAAATAGCAAAACTCACAGACGCACAGTTTAAAACATTGGTGATCAGGATCCTCACAGAACTGGTTGATTATACGGACAAATTAGACAAATATATGAAGGCGAAACTAATTGAAATGAATGGAATTGCACAGGACACCAATAGCAATGAAAAGGAAACTGGGACTCAAATCAATGGAGTGGATCAGAAGAAAGCAAATAATGGCCAAACAGAAAAGAGTCAAGAAGCAAAAATTCAAAGAAATGAGGAGAGTCTTAGGAACCTCCAGGACATATTTAAATGCTCCAACAGCCGAATTATAGGGGTACCAGAAGGGGGAAAGGCACAACCACCAGTGGAAAACTTATTTGAACAAATAATAAAGGAGAATTTCCCCAATCTGGCAAAGGAAATAGACTTCCAGGAAATCCAGGAAGCTCAGAGAGTACCAAAGAAGGTGGACCCAAGAAGGAACACACCAAGGCACATCGTAATTACATTAGCCAAGATTAAAATGAAGGAGAGAATCCTAGAAGCAGCAAGAGCTAAGGGGACAGTCACCTACAAAGGAGTTCCCATCAGACTGTCAGCGGATTTCTCAAAAGAGACCTTACAGGCAAGAAGGGGCTGGAAAGAGGTATTCCAAGTCATGAAATCTAAAGACCTACAACCAAGATTGCTCTATCCAGCAAAACTTTCATTTAAAATGGAAGGACAGATAAGGTGCTTCTCAGATAAGATCAAATTCAAGGAGTTCATCATCACCAAGCCCTTATTATATGAAATGTTAAAGGGACTTATCTAAGAAAAAGAAGTTAAAGAAACATGAACAGTGAAAGGACAACAAACTCACAGTTATTAACAACCACACCTAAAACTAAAGCAAACTAAAAGGACAGCTAGATCAGGAGTGGAAACATAGAAATGAAGATCTCAAGGAGGGTTAGCAACAGGGGGAGTGGGAGGAGGAGAAGGGGGGGAGAAGGTACAGAAAACAAGTAGCATAGACAGTAGATAGAAAATAGATGGGGGGGCAAGAACAGCATGGGAAATATAGAATCTAAAGGACTTGAGACACATGGACATAAACTAAAGGGGGGGTGATGGTGGGGATGGGGGGTAGGGTGGAGGGGAATAAAGGGGGAATAGAACAACTGTAACAGCATAATCAATAAAAAAATTAAAAAAAATAAAAAAAAAAGAAAGATCATTAAGGAAGAGAGCAAAATCCCTCCTCAGCAGCTACTGCCCGTGTCAGCACTCAGCCCACTCACTTCCCCAGTAATTACTTACTGGGTGGAGCAAGAGCCAGGACCTGTTATTACATTAGGAAGTTGTTCGTCCCTCGAATCTACAGATTACACATCCAGTTCATGTTACATCACAGGTAGGATATAAATGCTTTGAGCTATGTTCAAATGACAATGTCTAATAACAGTGGTCCTGGAAGCTTACAGCACCTTTCCGGGCAGGATCTCAAAACACTAGGAGAAAGCCCATCACCTTTCAACACAGCATTAGGCTGAAGGAGCACCGTGGCATGATGTCCTTTGTGTAAGTCAGAGAAAAGAAGTATAATCGCCCTAATATATTTTTGTTTTTAATGTTCCTATTTTTTAATTTTAGTAGTTTATTTTTACTGTATTTCTCATGGCCATTTATCCCCCTTAAACCCTCCTCCACCTCTACTGCTCCTCCCCACCTGACAGTCACCAAATCACCTCACCGTCGTTGGTGTCCGTGAGTCCTTTTTCTTTTTTTGCTCAATTCCTCCATCCTTGGCACTCTCCTTTTTAAATGCTTTATTCCCATCTCAAATGTTTTTATTGTTAAGTATGCCCGATTTTGTAAATTACCTAAAGGAATCTTGGAAATAGTTTATGTAAACTCTAATTAACTAAATAGAGTGATTGACATCATGAGATTAAGAACCTGACAAGTCCTGTGCTCATTCGGAGAAAATATTAACTTTTCAGGCTTTGTGACATGAAATTCATACAAAGGACCCCCGGGAAGCATCACCCGAAATCCCAGGGCTAAAATGGGTACAGCGACCCACCAAGGAATGTAGCAACTTAAAAAAAAATTATAGACTCTGTAATTCTTCCCTGAACTGTCATTATTAAAAGTTAATCCAGGAATTCAGGTTTGGGGATAAGGCAGTCTTCCTCTGTTCTTCCTCTGGGAACAGAGGAAGAAGACAAAGACTGTTTAAATATTTATGCTTTTCATTGGAAATCATAGGAAGAGTCCCTACTTTCAAGGCTTGAAGTGTTGCGATAATTAAGGACTTCAGATATTTTATATCGGATGGTTTTGACTTCAAAAAAAGCTCAGAGGGCAACGTGTCAGCAGGCACAGGGCTTTCGCAGCAGCCGCCCGGAGCATTCAGGCTCATTACAGAGGGTTCAACTCAGTCCTTCCTGACACAGTGCAACACCGCAGGGACAATTTCTCCACTCTGCTGTGGGCAATGAGATGGAAGTGGAACTTGTTGAGCAGAGCCCTTGGAAAAGTTTCTAAAGGAGGGCTGACTCAGCCAGGAAAAGGACTTCTTTTTTCCCCCTATGCTTCCTTCTTCCTGCCTGGAATGAGAGACATGATAGCTGGAGTTGTGGCAATCATTTTGTATCTGGAGGTAGACCTTGAGAAAGGGAAGCCACACTCTGAGGGTGGTGGGAGAAAGACACAGGGAGCATTCACATTTGATGACGTGATGTTCATGTCACACCCTCCCTGAACTGCATGCCTTGGGATTTCTGTGACATAATAGAAAGCCTCCTACGCAGGTTTTTCATTAATTCCCTAGTGAGGCCAACTTGATGACCTTTAGATTTTAAGTATCTTTACTTTCTTTTTAAAACTGCTTTTGCTTCTTGAGGAATTACAGTCAGTCCTGCTTTCCCTAACTTTACAGAATAGGTTCTCCCAGGCCTCCCTGTGACCTGACTCTAGAGGACGCCATGTCTGGTGCGGGTGGGTCCACGGGACCCGGGGCCGTCACTCTCTAGGCGTTCACAGAATTCCCTGCTTACCTTCTGATCTTCTTGGGGTTGTGACCTCAGGGAGATAAGTAAAAACCTTAATTTAGGTTCAAGCATCCACTGAACAGTTGCTAATACAATCTGTGGCTTTATAATCTCATTAGGGGCTAATTTAGATGAGTTTTCTCAAACTTGCCAGGCATGGATGACGTTGGTGGGAAAACATGTCACAAATCCTTTATTACACTTCTTTCTACAGCAAAGAGAAAAGAAAGAGAAAGTTACCACACTGAATGGCATAGAGAACTTGTTATTGATCAGAAAACAGGAAGAGATACAGGAAAACTACTTAACAGAAACAAAATAATAATGATAATAATAATTATATTTATCATGACAGCTTATTTTGTATCTGTCATTGTTCCACATGCATTGCTAACTCATTTGGCCCTTGTAATAACCTTGTGGAATAATAATTATTATTATTGTTGTTATTATTAATAATTATTATACTTTAGAGATGAAGAAACTGAGGCACAGTAAGCTGCAGTAAGTTTCCCGGTCTCATAGTCGGTAAGTGGCAGAATCAGGGTGTGAACCCAGGTCTAGCTGACCCTTGAACACATGCATTATACTGCCCCCCAATAGCTTAAAACTGTTGGCAACGTTTCACCGTAAACCCGATACCAGACTGCAGGCTCCACGAGGGGAGGCGATTGGAGGGTTGCTCCTGCTCTGGGCCCAATGCCTACAACACTGTTCGGCAGGTAATTGACATCCAAGTAATAACTGAATGAATGAAGACAGGACTGAATAAATGGATGTAGAGAACTTTACAGGACTGCAGCGCAGCCGGGGAGATCCCAGGGCAGCAGTTTAAGGTGCACTTCTTGGAGTTGCCACAAGCAGACCATTCCAAGGAGAAACTCATTCCTGACGCAGAACCTTCGAATTCTAACGAATTATTAACAACTGACCATCCGTAGGAAATCACGAGGGTACCTTCTGGAGAAGGTTCACAGCATGTAAAGTGCCTTATTTATGCCTTTGTGCTTAACCCTCCTAACACCTGGTGAGGATTTATTTCCACTTCATGACAGAGA